TGTTTATCATGATCTTAATATGCTTATTTCATGTGTTTCCCAGAAATAAAAGAAGTAAAAGCAACATTTACCTTGCAGTTCCTTTTACATTGGAGATAAACTATATACATTATGTTCCAAACTCTCACTCGTTGCAAGGCTTGTTTGCTGCAGTTATCCTAGAAAATGCTTATGGATTTTATATATCATAACATGCTTATAGGATGCATATATATGAACAATTTCAGACTTCACTATCACCATGGTTCCACCAAATGGTCATGTAGAATATGGTGCACGAAGTAATGAAAAAATTTTATGCAATAGATTCGTAGCAAGTGAAACAATTATTTCAATGTGTAAGAGATAATGTATACATCAATGATCATCTTGTATGAGCACAATCCTTTATTTAAGAAGAACAAAACCACAACTTGAACCAGTTGATACCAAGATACACATGTAAAATTGCAGGACAGGATTAGCGGAACCTTGATTGAACACCCAGGATTCACTAGTTGATTAGACGGTTGTAAAAGCTGACGTATATCAGAAACACTGAGGAAAAAAAAAGAACATGAGATTAGAAGTACCTAGCAACAGAAAAAAAGACAGCCCCTCTTCCACAGTCACAAGCCCTTCGATAGTTATCGAGAGCTAATGTAGTCTCTACTACATCTTGAGTTTCAATGAAAACTAGTTTATGTTGCATCACATCCTGAAGAAGAAACTTGTAAGTCATTTTATTTAGTGAGGTTCTTTGTTTTGTAACAGTCAATTGATCACCTGCAGTATTCCCATTTCGTTCCAACTGTTGACAATGCCATCCATATAGGAGTAACTGACAAAGAAACAGACAATACCATCTGGAACAGCAGCAACCATTTCCAGCAGTAGCCGTCCATAATTCCTCACGACACCAGGATCACTACGCATGTCAAACTTTGTGCTTACAGGTAGCTGATCACTGGAACATTGAGCATCAACTTACAGTAAGGATTTGTTGTACAAAGAAAAGCAAGTATCCAAAATGTTCAACAACAAAAACAACCAGTCATAAGGTCACAAATTAAAAATGTCCAAACATGCAAAAACAGAAGATGAAGTACTATTAGTGATTTTAGAGGGAATTCCTTTAGTACTGTCAAAGAACAATATCAATACACACACACATATACACATATACATATGGAGCCAAAAGTTAGGCAAACTTTCATACTTAGATAAGTATAGAGTACAATTGATTCACACAATATCACATTAGACCAAGTCTATAGCAAAGCATAATATTAGGATATTGAATTATACCTTCCACGAGTTAGAACCATCGGACATATGCAATCTCTTGTCAAAGACATTGTAAAACTTCGACTTATGACTGGGTTGAAATTCAGAAGACGAGGGTAGAGATCAATTGGGCTTAGAGTCCCAGAAGTAATTACAACTGACTGGAAGCGTTCAAAGACAGGCTTTATAGCAAGTGAAGCATCATGACAGCTGAGCTGCAATTACAAATAATGATGGGTGAATATGCCAAAACTCATTAGATGTTATATGAAATAAAACAAAAACCAAAGAACTAGTCACCTGCAGCACAGGATCAGGAATATGAGGCATTCGCTCATCAAACGGTTCGATGATTATTGAAAAGCCTCGTGTATATGTTCCAATTAATGTTGCAAAGTCACAAATTGTCTGGATGTGCAAGAACTCATCCGTGTCAGTTATTTCAAGCGTAAGCATGAGAGAGTGCAAGCGATCATAGCAGAATCTAAGCATTTTTTGATCAATTCCAGCCTGGGAATTGACAGAAGCAACAAAGGCTACAGGCCCTTCTGTCTCAACATTTTCAGTTTGTAAACGCCCTTTCAGATATTGTACTAGTCTTCTTAAAACAGAGAGGAAATGTTCTGCTCTCCTGATATTTCCAGGCACAGCCTCCTTCAAAATATCATCAGGCAAAGCAGGATTCGCAAGCCAGGCATCAGTTACTTCAGGAAAAGAGGGGATATTATTACCATCAGTTAACAATAGTTCTAAGAATAGATCAGATGGAATTTGGAACAATAAGACCATACATACTGGGTAAACTTCCTCTTTGTGCCAAACCTTCTACAAGACGGTTGTATTCTGTACGCAGTCTGGTAGCATCTGTCGCCTTGAACCTTCCTACCAAATTGAGCTTTCATTTCATCAAGTAATAATTTGATGTCTAAACAATGCAGGGATGAATTCAGTCAAACATAATATGAACGAAACCTTTTTTTTCTTTTCCTAATTTCAGACCAGAAGAGGTAGAAATCAATTTTTTATATCTAAAAAATGGGGCTGCAAAGCAAGAAGCAACAATCAGCATCCTACCCATTATTGCTAAAATTTTAAGAATGGAATCCACGAAAACCAAGAAATGAGGTGAACAAAATGGAAATGAATGTTTTCCGAAGCTCATTGATGAATCATCAATCCAAAGAAAACACTAACAGAGCATTTAATAAAATCTCTAGAATTTCTGACAAGTTATTATATTGTGATATAAAATGTGATATGGTTGGCAAATATATATACAAAAAACGAAAGGAACATTGATGTAATAATAGAGGAGAAAGGGATTTTTTTTATGAAATGAACAGAAATCAATTTCTTCAGATCGTGTTTTCTTTTTTTATTACTATGGTGGAATCCATGTTTACATCATTTTGTCACTTAACAAACTCCTTTTTCATCTTCCAAATAATCATATTACGTGCTCAATGAAATCCATCCACAGCATACACTCTGTCTTGTAGATAGTTGGTGAGGCGGGAAATCATTAAAACGAGAAAGAAAAACTTTGGAGTACCTATCGATCTCCTGGACCATGCGGTTGAGATTCCTGGTGGCGCCTTCCAGTGTCTGCCGCCGAATGCTAACGCTGAGGGCCTCGATACACACATTGTCAATGTTATGGGCCTCATCGAACACGACTACGCATTCCCTCTGCATCTCTTTGGAGATGATGCTGGCGACCTTAGGGTCGAGCAAATACTGGTAGCTGTAGACCACGATATTGGCATACCGTATGGTCTGCCGGGCGAGGTAGTAGGGGCACCAGCCATTGTCCCTGCCGAAGGCGCGGAGATCCTGGAGCGTGTACACACCGGGGGGGAGCATGACGGAGGCATTGGATGAAGAGGCGGCGCGGTCGAAGCCCTCGAAGAAGGAGCAGGTGGGGACGGCGGGGTCCTCGGCGGCTGCGGCGCGGACCCAGCTGGCGGTGAGGCGGCGGCAGGCGGAGTCGACGGAGTCTCGGGAGGCAGCGGAGACGATGGTGGGGTTGATGCATAGGTTCTTGCGGGAGGAGAGGCCTAGGGCGAGGAGGGAGCGGCGGAGGTCCGGGGGAACGTGGGAGAGGAGGAGGCGAAGCTCGGCAAGGGTCTTCTCCATCTCGTGGACGGTGCGGGTGCAGTAGAGGAGCTTCAGCGGGCGGTCGCCGGGGCGGGAGAGGGAATAGCTGGCGATGAGGGAGAGGAGGGCGACGGTCTTGCCGGTGCCGGTGGGCATCTCGAGGAGGCAGTGACCACGGGCGTCGAGAGCGCGCTTCAGCTCCACCATGTACTCGTACTGCTCCGGGTAGATGTGCTCGTAGGGGAAGTACACCGTCACATCCTCGATCTGGAATTTCATGGCTGCTGCTGCTGTTGCTTTTGCTTTTGCTTCCCCCTCCTCTCCGCTTCCCCTCTCCCACCACGACCGTGCTAATTGCTTCTCGGTGATGCCGCGAGCGGCTTAATTAGGGTTGAGAGAGAAGTGGCCGGCCCAGTTTATTTTGAGCCGTGATAGAAACGGTTCGACCCCATCTAACCCGAAACATTCACATTAATATTTTGGTTTCTTAAGAATTAGCTCATTTTCTCTATGAATCTAAAGCTCTTTGTACTCATCAAGTTAGATATAATGGAGAATACTCTTTCGACATTTATTTTCTTTTTTCTATGTTTATTTCTTGATGTTTTGAAATATGGAATGGAATCTAATTTTCACCATCCAACATAATCAATCACTCTTATCGATTCATTTTTAATGTTTCTCCTTTTACACTAATTAAATATTAGACATTAATTTTTTGCCTCTTGTGATTGGAAATTATTTTTTTAATTAGCATTTTAAATAATAATTGAATTATGGTCTGCATATTAAACACTTTTGTTAATCTTAAGGAAAATAAATTATCATATCTTTTAGTTAATAACTATATCATATCTTATATCTAAATTTTTTCATCCATACAATATCACAACTTTCTCCCCTAATTATGATCGTTGTTGGGTTTGAAATATTGATCTAACAGAGCAGCCTAATAATAATTTCATTCCTAGAAATAGATAATTTGTAATATGCTTTTGAAGTAATTTATATCCTTTTTTTTTAAACGAAAATCTATCAAAAATAAGTACAAATATCACAATCTTAATCATTTTATATATACATGTACAGCATAGTATCATAAAAATATATACGAATTAGATATTTTGTAATTGATTAATGGATGATAAAATTACGTTAAAGGTTCTTTTTATTAAAAAAAAAAAGGCATATTTAATTTATTTTAGATAATTATATTCAGTTGATACTTTGCTTCGACGTTTGTTTAAAAGCATAATATTAAAGTTTAATGATTTTTCTTAATATGAATAAAGTGTAACATTGTCTTACTAAGCATCTCAAGCTTAAGATTGTTAAGGTCTGATGTGTTGGAGTTAAATGGCTGATGACAGGCGAATTGATGTTGTTATACTCATATCTTATGGATTATAATAGTTGCATTAGTTCAAATCCAGTAAGGAACAATCTTTCCTTGACACAGCTATATTTATAGTGAGCTTTAGAGATTTAATGTAACTACAAATTGTTGGATATAAAGACAATAATCAATGTAAGCTAGTTTTATTGAAATTTTGGAAAGCCAAAAAAAGTTCAATCCATTAAGTAGAAGATCACCATATGAACAGCTTCTCAGGAAATAAAGAGCAGTCAAACCATCATTGGAGATCACTGATGTGAGACTAGTATTAGATTAGTGCATCTATAACAAAACTTTCAAGTAATAATGGAGGCTTGAACAAAATATTTTGGCACAACATCGCGCTCCGATCAAACGAGCCTCATTGCCATAAAGCGAAAAAATACAATCATCTGTTTCCCAAATATATATAGAGAACAAGAATTATTTCAGCAGCTCAATCTGCATTCCGGTCTTTGATGATAGTTTGCATGGCCTTGATGGAGATTTTTTATGTTTATTATATACTATAGTGATTCTGCACCTGCCGTTTAGGTGCTGTCACTGGTGCAAGGAGCATTGGTGCAGCGACAGACAGGTCGGCCAGAAGCATGCCATCCATTGAAGCCGCGTTCCAGAACCATAACCTTGTTGATTCCTGCATCTTCCTTCACCTCCGTTAAATAGTCCAGAAACATGTGCGCACAGGATGGCCCACGCACCTGCAAAATCATAATACTAAAGCACATGAAATCTAGCAACTTCGATTGACACAGTCAGAAGAACCAATGTAGAATTTCCACATTTAACACAAATAAGTGCAGCTTATCCAAGTAAAGGATTTAAATGCTAAAAGCAAACATTGTTTGTGAATGGTAATCAGGTATATGAAATAATTCAGATTCTAAGAACAACAATGAGAATGTTAAATATCAAGATAAGTTGCAACAGTAGCTAAGAAGAACAAAAACGACGACAAAATCGTAAATCTCAACTATTTATGGTCCGCTACTTAAACCTTTATCGTATTGAGGTATATAAGCAGTTACATTATGCTTTTAAACAAACATCGAAGTAAAATATTTCATTTTATCGAAGTAATACTTAATTGTTCACAAATGAAAATATTTCTTTTCTTATCTTTCTTCATAATTCCGCACATCCACCTCAATATTCTTATCTCAATAACACAAAATTTTTATATATTTTGTTTCCTAATGATCCAACACTCATACCCTTAGAGCATTTTTATTAAACAACCGTCTAATTAATTTTTTTTTAACTTGAAGGTACTATCACACAAGGCTCCTAAGTACTGACAACCATTGCTATTTCAAGTATCCATCAATCTCTTCATCTTGTTAAACAATTATAATGCTAGTTATTTGTCCGTGTGCTAAAAAGGTGTTGAGCAAAATATCTTAATGGTTAGACTAAATGCAAGTGTCAATTCTTTCAACTAGAGAGAATGAGCATAATAGACTATACAGAAGAAAGACATTTAGGCCGACCAGCAATTCCAAGAGAAACTCAACATGTTGATAATTAGACTATGATGGTTTGGACAAGTTAACAACCATAGGTGAAGAACATAGACTGGAGCAGCAGACAAAGACATTTAGGCAACCAACAATTCCAAGAAAATCTCCACATGTGTATAGTTCTTGATAATTGGACTAAATGACAGTTTGGTCAAGTTGACAACAATAGGTGAAGGACATGTAAGCAAAGTTCTTAATTATATAAATGAAGAAGTTTTGGCTATCACTGATTCAGTAGTAGGGCACAACAGAGTTGAGCAATCTCTTTCATAAAGAAACTTCAAAAGCAAGCTTAGCAGCACAGATTTTCCCATTTTTATAAGTTCAATTGTGATTATTCATATGAACGTGAAGGGCTTCTCCGTCGATAAGGTAAGCATGACTAAGACATCATGAAGAAAAAGAGCTTCATACCACTTGATGTGATCTCATTATAAGGGACTAGTTTGTCATTTCATAATACCTAATAGCCAGAGTAAGTACCATCTAACATAGAAATAACACTACACAAGTGCTATAGATTTAGCATAAAGTTTTTTGAATAATAATGGAAAGGGAACAATAATCAGTTACAAAGCAACTACACCTAAGTATGCAATCCATTTAAGATCGAATATATGGAAAGTCCGCAATAACTTCAGCAGAATGCTGATAACCCGATGCATGACATGTTGCCATAGATGCATCATTCTTAACTATTTGAAACAAATCAGAGAAAGCATAACACCAGTTAAGAATGATACAAATTGTTTAACTTGTGAATATAAAGCAATGAATGCAAATAAGCAGACCTGCAAACCATTGAACCAGAGATGATACTATCAAACCCTGTGAAACCTAGCGGCATCATGAAAACTACAGGCATCCGTATTAAGAATTTTAAATTTTGTTAATGCTTACAGCAGTTTTTACTAGAGTACGCTCCAATATTTAAATTCATTCTGTAACAAAAGTGTGTAAATAGGTTAGGCAAGGACCACTAAGTTTTTCTGCCCATCGATTTCCTTCTTGTTTGCAAATGGATGTGTTTAGGCTTGAAAACCGATTTGAAGTCCAACTACACAATTTTTTTAGAATGTGTACTAAGTTGAGTTCGTAATCACTAAAAGGATATGAATGTGCAGCCTAATGCACGAGACACCACCCAGTATGCTCAGAAGAGTAAAAAAACAGAGGTTGTTTCCATGATGCAAACTTTTATCGCTTTAGGTCACAGAAAAGCACCCTTACCATGGGCACCAAGGCTTATCCACTAATCATTAAAATGAGAACAAATAAAAAAATGATCTATCATAAGTTTTTTTGATAGGATGACCACTAGACCCAAAAGCTTAAATTGCTAGAAAAAAGCCTAACATAAACTTAAACCCTGAGATCCCCTCTCACATGCAAGTTGGGTTAGGTTTGACGCAATTGGGTGCAAGAAAAAGAGGAACAAACATTACACAACTACTCATTTATGCGTGAATCAAACACTAGGTAAAATAAACGGCCTGTTTTAATACCATAAGAAGATATATTGGGTAATTCATGACCCATACAAGTTCTATGTGTTGGACTTGGGCTAGTCCACCTGCACTAAACGTGAGGGAGAGTGTTAAGAATATAAATGAATATATTTCTATCTCATCTAATAGTTTCAGCTTTTAGATTGAATGACAGTAATAAAATAGTTTAACAATTTAATCTTTAGGCCATGTTTCTCTTCTTCCAGCACCAAACAGACGCCGCAATACCTTTCAACGAATGAACCTACTCTATAGAACCCTAAAGCAACATACCAGAGCATCATTTTGCCTAAGCAAGATGTAGCACTTCCAACGCTAAAGGCTAATATAGAAAAAGGCCCAGAAATCTGAATCAGTAAGCTGGCCAGAAACAACTCCCAAACAGAAATCAAAATCCCCAATCACTCATCCCTTTTGATTCCTCATCAACCAAATTAGCTTTTCAGCTGTTCGATCTTAATCACAGCTCATAGCAAGATCAAGACGGCCCAATTCGAGGAGCCTCTGTGCCGGCCATCAAATCGCTGGACCAAATCAAATCGAAGAAATCAAACGGACGCACAGGCTTCCAGCGACCAAACAAGCGAGAAAGAGGGCGAAGGTGAAGGGCGGAAAAGACAACCTTGCTGAGGGCGCAGTGGAAGACAAGGGTGTCCTTGCCCTTGACAGCCTGCAGCAGGTCAGGCATTCGCTCCCCGAAGGTGTCGCTGGCGTAGTGAAGCGACCCCGCGATGTGGGCGTCGTAGCTCCTCTCCTCGTCCCTGCGCCGACACCCATGGAGGAGTCAACCAATCCACGATCCGCCAAGACGGATCACGATATCATCCACCGTGTTTGTTTAGCGCCACCTACCTGACGTCGACGATGGCCACGCGGGGATTGCGAGCGATGGCGATGAGCTGAGAGGCCGTGATGTATGTGAGGCTCCTCGCCATCCTCTCTCCCTCGCTCTCTCTCTCTCTCTCTCTCTTGCTGGGGGCTTTCTTGGGTAGCTCGGGATTCATCAAGAACTGGAGGTCCGTCACGCTTTGAGATTCGTGCAGATTGGAAATACCCCTTGAAAAAAGAACAGCTTAAAGTATTCTTATTTTTTGTTTTATAGAATATCTTCGTCCAATATAATAAAATTTGGTTTTGTAAATAAAGAATTCCTTCACATAATGTTGTGATCACAAAAAATTGGAGGGTCGTGGTGAATAATTTCTAAATAATGATTGGGATTTTTTTTTGTTGATACTTCTTAAAAATATGAAATAGAAAAGAATGATGCAGGATGGAACAAAAATTAGAAAATTAATTAAATAATTTTATTTTAGAAATAATTATCATATCATACTAAAAGTGGTTTCTTATTTTTTATTTTAAATACTATATATATATATATATTAAATTTTGAGTTATAGGTAGATGGAGCGTGACTTGGAGCTCTTTCTTTCAATGATTATATGTCCGATGATGATTGATTGTTAATATATTTTCTATCATTTGTCTCCCTCAATGTATATTTCAGGATTATTATTAGAGGGGTGTGATGTTTAATTTATCTGACAAACCTATTGTCAACCTGCCCCTTTGTAACATTAAAAAGATATGTTGGCGCGGGTCAGGTTTTCTAAATTCACATGCCTCATGCATACTTTACCTCGTACCTCAATTGTAATAAATTCATTTTGGCGAGGGTCAAATTTTTCTAATTCATATGTCTCGGGTATATTTCATCATGTGTATCCACCATCTCCATCGTAGCATATTCATCCTAGTGTGGGTCGAGTTTTCTCGACTCACACACCTCAGGTGCATTTCGCCTTACGTCTTTATCATAACAGATTCATCTTGGCGAGGGTCGGGTTTTTCTAACTAACATGCCTCAAGCACATTTCCCCTATGCTTGCACTGTAACGAGTTCATCTTAGCACAGGTTGGGTTTTCCCGATTCACAGGCCATATTTTGTCCTATGCCTCACCGTAGTAAATTCATTTTGGCACGAGTTGGATTTTCCTAATTCATATACCTGGGCATATTTTTCCTTACGTTTTCACTATAACGGATTCATCTTAGTGCAAATCAAGTTTTTCAAACTCACACACCTCGGGCATATTTTCCTCAACATCTCCACCATAGTTGGGTTTTCCTAACTCACACATCTTATATACATATTCCCCTGAACTTTTATCGTTGTGAATTCATCTTGGTGTGGGTTGGATCTTCTTATCATACGCCTAGAGCATATTTTGCTTTACACTTGTGCCATAGTGGATTCATCTTGGCGTCGGTCAAGTGTTCTTGACTCACATGCCTCAACTCACATGACTCAAAGTTCCTCTTCATAGGTTTTTTCATCAAAGCTCTTAATCCGATGTGTCGTGAATGTTGGAAAATCACGAATTAGCATTCAAGTGTAGTGAAAAACAAAAACAAACTCAAATTTTCCTAAGTACTTGGTCATTGTGTGACGATTAGTGCGTGAGAAAATCACAAAACTGAAAACCACATATTATGATAGAAGCATTCTAGCAGTGATTCATATGGTAGACACAGTGACGATGCTCCTCAGATCGTTATAGGATCACCCTCTCCACGCGCACCACAAGGCTTCCGAAGCCAAGGAAAAGGAGATGAGGCTGAGGAGAATAAGAGGGGCGACCACCAGAAGTTCTAGCCTATGAACCGTGAGGTTCCTCCTATTTATAGAGGTGTAAGCAGCCCTTAATATATTCTATCCATATTAGATCTTGAATATCTATCCAATTATCCAATTTGATATTATCCATAGGATCCAAACTAGATGCTCCGTGGATATCTCATATTCGCACCTCTACTCGTTACAACATCCATCATATGTGTACTCTCCCATGAGTCGATCATGTTAGAACTCCTTATGACTCAAAACTCCCTTTAATATAGTGAATTATTATCTCCATAATAATTCACTTGACTCATTAACTATGGATGTACTAGGCCACTACGTCATAGTCCTCAAATGGTATAAGAGATCTAATCCATTGGAACTGTCTATCCTCAGTTACCATGTATCTATAGTCCCTCATAAATCTAATATCTTAGAGGCCGCATATCAAGCATGGTAATATCATACCCATACAGAATCTTGTCCGAGTCTCACTCTAATCGGATTCTTCCGAAGAACTTCTTCTCTCTTAATCTGAATGACCCTCGCTAGAAATTTTGTCTGAGCGAGTACACACAAGATATTTCTCTAGTGATATCGAGAGTGGATGATCCTCTGTTGACACTCAATTACCTTTGTAAGGTTGGCTATCATTATTGAGAACTGGCTATACCAGATCTGAAACTTTCAAACTTGTAAGTCCGGCGTTAAAGAATGAAGTACTCATACAAAACATCTTTGGTGTCTCAAGTCTAAGGACCAGACACATAACTAGGACTACGGAGTCACTGTCTAACGTCGGATATCAATAACCATCCAGTATTCCATAAACGGATCAATCAGTGAACTCATTCTCCAATGAGCACCTGCATTGTACCTTTAGTATCCCCACACGAGCAATTGTGAGATCAGTCACCTCCATCATATGGATAAATATACAATGCACCGGTCTATCTGGTTATCTCGATATTCTTTTCAAGTAACCTATAACCAAGATGATTTAGAGTTTATGTTTAAAAGTGAATTGGTCTTATTATCATGATCTTATCACGATCTGATTCTTATTGCACAGATCCAAGACATCACAATATACATCCAAATAATATATGGTAAAATACCAGTAATAATAAACAAAGAGATTATCACAGTATGTCATATGTGTCATCACTCACATAATTAGCTTGTTGGGCACATATAACTAATAGAGAAGACTATCTCGAGTGGTAGGGCAGCTTCAGTGCTGAATACTAAGCTGAATGGTTATTCTTCTGAGTCGATCTTGAGTATCGTTTGGGAGGCCAACAAAATGCTTGGCAGCTCATCCAACTATATATCCTTTACTCCAATGATCCCCTTCTTTAATCCTTTGAGAATATTTTGGTTGGTGACCTTAGCGAGACTATTGGTTTAAGGATAAATCATTGAGTTGAACCTCAGTTAAATCCCATAGTATTGGCAAAACTCCTTGAACTTTACATTATTGAATCAAGTCCCATTGTCGGCGATGAGGGCCCTTGGGATTCCGAAGCAGGTGATGATATTCTTCCACATGAATCCCTCAACTTGCTTTTCTATGATCGACGATAATGACTTAGTCATTTGCACGTCTCCTCATGCTTACTCGAGACCATTGTCTCAATGGCAATGTATTGGTTAGCCCTCTAAAACACCTCAGGCAGTATTGCTAGTGTTAGGAAACCTAGGAGAGCATTATATAATTATAATAACCAAAGAGGCTATACAGCATGTCATATGTGTCATCACTTACGTGATTAGTTTGCAAGACACTTGTAATTAACAGCTAGTGGTTTTTTCACTAACGAAAAAAAAAATGAGAGGGCTTGAGCCTCATTACGTAGGCTTGCATCATAAGTGATGAATGGAATTATTACATACCTCGGATCTTGTTAGTAAATTGAGCGACTAATTAGAGAGTGTTTCTTCCTCTCATTACTTGAGTCGAAGAAGTATTATCATCATTGGCCTCGAGCGTATATTCCTAAGAAAATAGAGCTCAAATTCCTTTGTGAACTAAGTAAAGGAGCCAACTACGAATGATTTCAAACAAGTGTATCATTCTCATATTGGGCCTCTTAGCACCGTCGAAAAAACATAACATATTAAGATATCCAAGATATCATACTATAACATCTGGGCTCGATAGTACGTGCTACTCACAGGTACCCTATTTTAACTGGTCTCAAATTCTTAAAAGTAAAGTACGGGTGTCCGAATCCTTCGATAACAACCTACAGAAAAGCCTTCCCGAGAGAGGGTCTTAGGAAGGTTGTTGGGTTTGGATTAAGTATTTGGTTGTCGGATGAACCCTTCCCATAAACTTTAGTCGTGAGAAGACAATTAATTTTTATTGTGTGAAGGATCTACCGGTGAACAGAAACTGGAATGTGCAACTATTGAATCATATTTTTTTACCCCCTCCTAGCATGTAATATCAATCACAAGTATTCATCTAGCCTTTGAATCTGACGTTGACGGCTGGGGTTGGAGTCCCCACACAGGGGGGATTATGATATCTAAAAATATTTATAGGATGGGGGAGAAATATTTATAGGATGGTTGAAAAGCTATTTGGGGGTGAGGTTCGAAGGTTGAATGTTCTTGCAAGAACATTAGAGGTTTGAAGACTCTTATGGGAAGGCTGCCCACTGGTCTTTGATTCTCTAATGTCATTTATTGCTATGTCGATCAGTGTTGTGTTTGGGGAGTGACTCTGCTGAGTATATATATTCATTTGCTTCAATCGAGGGGAGACTCTGCTAAGCATATATTCTGGGATTTGCTTCAATCTAAGTTGGGATTCAGATTCTCTTTCATGCACAACCGGTCCAAAGATGACTGTTTGAGGAAGGAAGAATGTTTGAGCAATCAATCTGTCCAATTCCATTGTCTTTGCCACTAATGATTTTGAAGTTTTCAGCATGTATGCAGGGAGGGAAATATGAGTGCCCACAACCTTGCCATGCAGTCTTGGAGGAGAGTCCTGTGTTCTTGGAGACAGATTCTGTCCCTGTTGATTGAAACATACAAAGTCTTGAATGTTAAAATAAATAAAATAAAACTGAATTATTTTTCGAACTGGTCATTGAGATTTATAAGTTTGCTGAATGTATCCATAGACATTTTTTTCAAAGCAGATTAGATCAGAAACAAATCAAGAATGCTTTGATTGAACATGAGTTAGTCAACTGTTCCAAAGTCATATATGACGTGTAAGAAAACTTCCACAAAACAATCGTTTCAACCTAAACAATATGACTTTGTTCTCCATTGTTTCCTTTGTTTTCCTTCATCATACATTGCATCAGTAAATCAAGCTTAGATTCATCCATCGCTCTCGTTCAAGACCAAGAGAACTCGAACACCAGCCATTTACAAATATGAATCAGATTTAACTTTGAGGATTTCCCTCTATCCACGACCGTGACACATTTTTGGTACAGAGAAGATATGCAAATGGATATAATTTTGAATGAGTTAATGACGTATGAAAAAGATTAGCAAATGAGAAGGACATATTATGTACAGAATCAAACAAGGGTTTGTGAGGTTATCTACAAAAAGTTCCACTGCCAATAGACCTTCTCCACGATACCTCCACCGCTGCGGACTGCTAAACGAAGAGTATCAGACGCGGGAGGAACACCCCAAAGCAGTGGCACTACTACTGTCATAGTCAGCTTCTCCAGCAAACCTTCACTGCTCACTTTTTCTGCAGTGACAACCTGCACAAAATATTTCTCGTCTTTTAGCAAACGCCTAAAATCAAAGAGTGAAAAAGAAAGTGACTCAGGAGGTTCAAAGGTGACAAATGCATGGTACTCGACTTTGTATATGTTGTCAGGCAGAGCATCAAAGTTTTAAGTACCATTCGGAACATACCAACCTATATCAAAGATGCAATACAATAGATTTTTTTTTAATAATTTTAATAATAATACTGGGAAGTATATGTTAGTATGCTGTTATGGATGTCATACACTTGATATGTTACCAACCCATTCCTTATAAAGCATTACCAATGAGAAGCACCTCCAAGACTAAATCAAAATGCAAAAAAAACAAAATGATTTTTCACATCCATTTTGTCAAACAGCCATCCCTTTGACACTATTCACCCCCTTAAATGTGGTCAAGTTACTTTCCTAATTCCATTTTCCCTATTACAAACACCTGATTTTTCTTGTTAAATAAGGGTGTTTGACAAAAGATGTTGGACGAATTCCTGAAAATAAAAAAGGTAGTGGCAATAACAGACTCCATCAATCAACATATCAATCTCAGTAGCCAGATTTTTCTAACCTGGACACCTGGCTAATAGAGTAGGTTACCAACGCAATGTTCAAACCCAGGAATAAACTTTTTGAGACTTGGTTATGACCTATCAACTATTTTTCTCTACTACAGCTGAAACCATAGCACACCATAAGAAACAATCCAGTGTAATCAACTGTGCCAAAAACAGTGGGGAGTATTCTCTCTTGATGGACTTCTTATCATGTTCCCATTAAGTTGCATATTCCACAAACACATCTACTCAAGCAGTTTAAAGCAAGCTGATACCCAGTAAACCTCACAGATAATCAGATGAATGAGACAGTTGACCACTTTTAAGGTCTATGGTTTGACTTTGGCTGATAACGCCACCAAGATTGTTGATCTTATGAACCTAGTTTCTCCTGATGGCATTTTCAACAACTGTATCTGTGGATACATATTACTTCCTGAAGAATGTTTCAGAACCTTAATGGAGAATTGGAGATATTAATTGTTACCAAATAAACAACGGTCAACAAAGATAACCAATCCATAAACCGAAAAAGGCCAGTATATTCCTTCCTAGATATATCAATGAGTTTAAGGAAACAATTTTGCTGCCTGCTAATTTCTAGCATGTTCGATAACTAATTTTCTTGTAAGTTCATTTTCAGATAATATATTTTTGTTCATCTACCAAATGATTCTTATCAACTAAAAAAGAACATGAGATATAACATTCTATTGCCAATTGTTCATGTACTGTAATCAAGTCCATTCTGTCGCAAAATGTTTGTGTACTGCAATCAAGTCCAGATCCTTAAGAACTAGAAGCTACTTCAATAAAACAACAAAAATGTCACTTAAGGACATACCTCACCACCGTGCTCCACTATAGTATCTTCAACAACATCACTCAGCATTTCAATGGACCGGCAAAAGCCAAAGATACACAACCTTCTCCCCATATCAAGTCCCTATTAAAAACATTAGAACAGATTAATCATAAACCTAGAGACAGATGAAGACTACATAGCTTCAGCAGACACACACATTTGTTGCTGCAATATCAAAGAGTGCACCAAGACAAAGTCCTTGATTGGGATCCATGTAATCACTCTCCTGAAAGCGCTGAACACTTTTTGTTACCGGTGATTTTCCTTGCCTCTTCTGAACAACATATATGAATGTTAAAAAGCATTAATATCCTAGAAAGAAATGAGTAATTGATGATCCGTATGTATGCTTATACATGCCAGGTGAAGCATATGTTTGCTTGTGCCATATAAAGCACAGCCAAACTAAAACACAAGAACACACAATTTAAGATGATTAATATGTAGCAAAAAATTATCTCAAGGAATATATTATTTTGTTCAACAAACAAATTTCTAAAGACATTAACCAGGTAGATTTTTTATTGGTAAACAAATATTGATTCGAGACAGTCAATGTGAATATTTTGTAAAATGAGACACCAGCAAGGAAAATCACCTATAATATGGCAGAAGCGAGGTGTGATAATATCTGCATAAGCTAATATTCAGCTACAACAGACACTAGAGAATAGAAGAACACTATGTCCTGAGAAAGATTTGCCTTGTAAAAATAAGATACCCAACAATTTTAACTTAATAGTTAAAGAGAAAGAATATGCGTAAAAAATGGTTAGGGAATACAGGTACTTAATGCATGAAATATATTTTAAAATTCCATTACCCTTACCTGAGGAAATCGACGAGGAATCAAAGATCCTCCTATCTGGATGAGCCCTTCAGAAGTAAAAAGAGTGATTCTATCTTCAGGGACCCACTCGATGGCTGTGAAATATTCAAGAACAGCCATAATTTCCAATCAGAGATCAAGAAGCTAAGTCAGATATTTTAACACAAACAGACGAGAAATGACCAGTAGAGAAGCAAATGGAATAGCTCAGTTACAACAATATCTGGAGCACAAGACTGAAAACATTTTAATCATCACACAATTATATAAGTGGAGCTGCATCAGGATTCTGCAAGATATAACCAGTGATTGAAAAAGGCGCTCGGGCGCTCGCCTAGGCGCTCGGGCGAGGCGAGGCGAGGCTCGAGCGCCTCGCTAATGTCCCAGGCGACGCGCTTCAAACAGGTGCCGCCTGGGCGCTCGCCCGAGCCCAGGCGCTGGGCGCTTCGGGCGAGCGCCTGGGTAAACCAAGTGACCGAACCAGGATTTTAGGTTTGGTTCGGTTGTTAGTTGGTTCAATCGAACCAACTAAACCGATATAACCCTTACCTAACCCTAACCCTTACCCAACCCTAACCCGCTGCTGCTGCCGCTCCCGATCCCGATCTCGCTGCTCGTCGCTGTCGCTGCTTGCGCCTCCCGCGAGCCTTCCCGCTGCTCACGACTCCCGTGAGCCCTCCCGCTGCTCGCGCCTCCCGCGAGCCCTCCCGCTGCTCGCGACTCCCGCAAGCCCTCCCGCTGCTTGCCGCTCCCTTTCCCGCTGCCATTGCCGCTCGCTGCTGCTTCCTCGTTTCTCCGTCAGCAGGCTTATACTGTTAATGTGATTATATTTATTAATTATATTATA